CCTGGAAGATTGTAGGTGTTAGGGTTAACCGTCTTAACCTTAACTCCTATAGGTACTCCTACTGAAATCTACAAGTCTTCTGTCGGCACTCTGGCTTACTGACTTAATGATGTGATTGGACACTCGTGGAGATATTAGATGGATAAGACGGGATGCGAGAACATAAGCTACCAACGGCCATCTGCTCTGTTAACTTTGTTTGCTGCGTTAGATTAGGTCTATCGTGACTGCCTATGGCAGATAAGGGCATCAGATAGTGTACCACCAAAACTCATCGCCATTATCAAGGCATAATACCGCTCCTTCACTGCACAGCTTCTGGTCCATAACAACAGTACAGAATCGTTAGCTAGTTGCTCTGTCTGTTGACAGGACTGTTCCTTGTTGTCCATACTACTTTACTATACAATTGACTAGATTATAGTGAAAGCCCTATATGAAGAGGATTTTGTTGAACTTACGACCGGTCGCCGGCTGAATGAACTCGACTACGCTGAAAATATCGCCTTACTTACTTCAAGCTTGAGCGATCTCCAGTGAATGGCGTCACGGGTAAACGATGTCGCTAAAGCGATTTCTTTGTCTATAAACGCTGGGAAACGTAAAGTTGCTTCATGCTGCATCCTTGACCAAGAGAAGACACCTCTCGATAGTAGTGGTTGTCAACTTAAAGTTGTAGAGACTAACATAAACTTCGGAATGAAGTTGCTGTCGAATGGTTAGACTAAGGATGACATTGCTCCCGAATCGATGCAGCCTGTACGGTTTCCTCAGGCCTTAGGAATCGCCTATGAACCTGACGCGTTATTTCTAGTTCCAAGAAGGTTCGCGTGCACCGTGTATCCGTTTGGTCTGTCCTTATCTACGGCTGGGAATATAGGGCATCGCGCGTGGAATATGAAGGGAAATTGGGTATATTTGACAATCGCTGCAGAGGACCATCCTTCGAGTGAAGACAACTGACTTCGTCTCAAATGAAACAGTCCGCACTCGTTGCAACAACATCGCAGGGCTATCCCTGGCCATCCAACAAACACGGCTGAGGTGGTTTGTACAGGTTCGTTGTCTAAAAACTCAGTGTTACTGCCCTCGATTCGACTCCGTAACCCAATTGGAGACACCGAAAAGGGAGTGAGCTCAAAACTTGGCCCCACTTAGTCCATTAGGACATGAAAGTGGTTCTTGGACCTTCGGCACTGGTGAAGAGAATGGATTGAACTGTCTAGTTTTGCCGTGATGGAGGGTAAAGCATGCCAAAATACTATCCGGGAAAACATTTAAGCCGACTAGATCAGTTATGATCACAGCCTTAAGAAGTACAGTGGGGTACAAGTAATAGACATGTTTTTCGTTCAAGCCAGCCATTTCAATGCCCCAGTCAGTGACTCAACGCGCAGCCCTGAACATGAGCCCTTAATAGGCCCCGAGATACGTTGGATGAATTCTAGGCCCATGTTACGGCACAGCATCCATAACAAATGCCGTACATTCGGGCTGCTGTGGTACGTCAAGGCGCAGGATCACGCTCAATCAGCCACCTGCACCCAATTTCGCACCATATCGGACAGTGAACTGATATCCGGGAGGGTTCGACTGAGGGACTTCGCCTTCATGATGTACAGCGCATTTGCATGACTAGAAAGAATCCGATACAAATTTAAATTATTCTTATGTATTAAAAGTCGGGTGTGGAAGTCTAGTAACTGACTGGATAGCCCAGGTCACTCAGGACAGGCATGGGCTGTGATAGTTCTTTCGTTGTCTGCCCTCTACGACACGCAGACGAAATCCAAGCAGCCTCTTGTTTTTTATGATAACCTGGACCACGGTCTATTAATAAAGTATTTGTGCCAGACTTAGCCACTGAGCATGATCCCACCTGATCCACCAAGTTCGGGTGGGCGAGTTAGGCATGGGTACGATAGATGCTACGCAAGCCTACTATAATGATAGACTGATTCACACGCAAATCACTACCCCTTTAACCGCCTGACTGAGCAGCAAACTGTGGGCATCGTCCTTTGCGACTGCGCTGTTT